TGTTAGCATTGCTGAACCAGGGGCCTGGCAGTAGATCTTGAGAAAGTCCTGGGTGACTTGAGGCGTGGCAAGAGATGACACCCACAAGGCCACAGCATTAGCTCCTTGAGTTCAGAGATGGCCTTGAGGGCTCCAGAACCCCAGCTCAGGGCCTASAACTTAGTTGGCGATTGCTTAGTGCTGATGAGATCTAACTGCACGAGGGATGTGGCTGGGTCAGCAGAGGCTGGAGGCGAGGAGGCTGGGGAGGAGGCTGGCTGGTGAAGAAGAGACGGCTTGCTGGGGCCTATTCCTGGGGCTCAGGGAGGCAGGGAGAAGGTAACAGCTGACTGCCAGGTACTCGGCTTGGGTGCTGCACTGGTGCCGCTCAGAGAAGGGGACCAGCTGGAGAGCTGTGGAATGAGAGTCCAGGAGGCTGAGAAATGGAGGCATGAGAGTCTGTGGAGATGAGCACAGAGGCGGCTGGCCTCAGGGCAGTAATGCAGGTGAGGACACGGAATTGGGGGAGAGAACTCTTTCAAGAGCTTCCATTGAGCTGGACATGGTGGCACACGTGGTGTGAGAGGCTGAGGCAGGAGGATCACAAGTTCAAAGCCAGCCTCAGCAACTTAGTGAGGCCCTAAGCAACTCACTGAGACCTTGTCTCTAAATATAAATATTTTAAAAAGGGCTGGGGATGTGGCTCAGTGGGTAAGCACCCCTGGGTTCAATCCCTGGTTCAACAACAACAACTTCCACTCTGTAGGAAGAGGGAGGAGGAGTATTGGCCGAAGGTGACAGATCAAGGTTGTCCTCATAGGTGGGGTGAGCGAGATGTGAGCAGGTGTCTGGGCTGCTGTGTGGGAGACAAAAATCAAGGGGAGGATGAAAACCCAGGCCCAAGTCAGGGGCTGATGGGGTGGGATCTCTGCAGGACTGGAGAGAGTGGGCCTCAGATAACAGAGACCCCCGCCTYGGGGGAGGGAGCCAGGATGGGCAAGACTGGTGTGAGTGGATGAGAAAACTTGGGGGCCTTCTGTGGTTCCAGAATGTGTYCTGGAGGGATGGGGACCCTGGGGCCAGAGAGCCTTTCAGGATGTGGATTAGGGGTGGCTGCCTGGAGAGGCTGGCCTTGTGGGCTGGGCTGGCTGGGGGCTGCCTCTGGGGTGGGAGCCCCACCTTGCATGTCCCCAAGATGGTGGGGCTGGGGTCTTGGCTTGGCCTGAGCTGTGGGAAGCTGTTCCTGGGCGTGAGGCCCGTCCTGTGACCCACCAAACCTCAGCCTCCAGGAAAGAGGCTAAAAATAAGGCTGTGGTCAAGAAGGGCGGGGGTGTGTGGGCCCAGCCAGGCTGGGGCCCTGGAGGAAAATGTGAGACGACGGCCGAGCTGCTGTGACACACGCTTCCCGTGCCAGCAGCCAGCAGGATCTTGCCCTCCTGTGGCCATGGCCTCATCCAGACAGAGCCTGGCCATGGGCCTCAYAGCCTGCAAAGGTCCTGCTCTCTGGCCCTCTTCTTGGAGTTCAGGTGGAGTTCAAGGCTATGCTCCCTCCTGATGGTAAAATGGGTGGTGGTAGGGATCCAGGGTTTCCTATGTCCAGGGTTCTAGACTGCCCAGGAGCTCCCAGGGGCCTTGGATGCCTACCTGGATGTGGAGAAATATTTCTTCCCCTTACTAAGAACTGTGTGGGGGAAGAAGTCAGGGAAGGCTTCCTGGAGGCAGAGGCAAATGCTGGGCCTTGAAATCAATGGATGGGGAAGGGTCCAGTTGCTGTGCTGCAGGGAGGAAGCAAGAATGCTTTGGCTGTGGAACTGTGAGCTCTGGTTGCCTCCAACCCACGTCCTTCCTTTGAGCTGTGGATAGAGACCCACAGTCCTGGGCCTTGGGGATGTTTTTACTCTCCTACCAACTCCCAACTCCACCCATCCTTTCATCTACCAAAACTGTGACAGTCCCTGTTCTGTGTTCTGGAGCTGACTCACCATGTCCCGTGCCCAGTTCATGGCCACCCGTCCATCTGTGCATCTGCCCCACAGAGAGTCCCTGAGGTCCAGCTATGTGCTGGGCTGTGGGCTGGGGACAAGAGCAAAGCATGAAGAGGTAGTGTGGCAGAAGAGCAAACTTTGGTTTTCAGGAGCAGACCCTGGGTGGATATTGAGAAAAATGTGTTTGGTCTTCTTCCTGCCTCCCGGCATAGGGCTCTTAAAATCCTGGAAATCTTCAAAATGATCAGTCTCTTTATGCTAATGAATGACTGATGCCCTCTGGTCCCTGGGTAGCTTTAGGATAGGGGCAGGTCGCAGGGAAGGCTAAGGGTTGGGTCTTTCAGTATTTTACCTTCAACCTCCAGGGAGGTGAGAGGTGCTAAAGATTGAGCTGATCACACCTGGCCAAGATATAATCAGCTGTGACTATGTGTCTATACAATGAAACCTTCATAAAACCCCAAAGCCCCAGATTTGGAAGTGCCGAAGTTCCTGCAGGCGGGTGAGCCTGGAGAGGACGTGGAAGCTCCATGTTCTCCAGCATCCCTTCATCTGTGTGCTTTGTGATGTCCTTTATAATAAATCAGGCGAGGGGCTGGGATTGTGGCTCAGGGGTARAGCGCTTGCCTAGCATGGGTGAGGCATTGGATTTGATCCTCAGCACCACATAAAAATAAATATGTCCCATCTATACTAAAAATATTTAAATAATAATAATAAACCAAGCAAATGAGTTCTGTTAGTTGCTATAGCAAATTGATCAAACCCAAGGAGAGGATCGTGGGAACCCCAATTTATACAGGTAAAACAGCCTGGGGCTGTGGTGGGCATCTAAAGTGGGGGGGGGGATGGTCTTGGGGCTGAGTCCTCTGCTTTGGGGATCTGATGCTGTCTTGGGTAGATAGTGTCAGAAACGAGTGGAATTAGAGAATACCCAGCTGGTGTCTGCTGCAGAGTTAATTGCCTATTTGATGTGTGGGGACCCCCACCCCCCACAGTTTGGTCAGAGAAGCAGTTTGTTATGAGTGTGTAGTGGGAGGAAATGGAGTTTGTTTGTTTTTTATCTATATTTTCAGACCTCCAAAAACTAATGTGCTGCATGACAGAGAGTTTTGGGTCTTAGAGCCTTGGTTTCTTCATATGCAGAATGGAAATGATAATTACAAATACCAGCATGCATGCCAAGGATAGAAATGCCATCCTTAGAGCCTCACYGTGCCCTGAAGTTAGCAAAAAGCAATAAATATTGTCTCTTAGCTTTTGGCCACACTGGGTCCCAGTAGTTCATATCCCCGTCCCTGTGTGTCTTCCCTATAGAATCCTTACTTGTCCTAAAGAGCAGTACCAAAGCTAGGATGGACATAGATGGGGCTGGGGACATAGATGGGACACTGTAACTCATTTAGGATGAGGAAAGGGGAGAAATCAGGGAAGACTACTTAGAAGAGGAGGCAACTGAAATAACCTTAAAGGAATAGCAGTGGGCCTATGGATGGCAGGGCCACCAACTGGGATGCTGAAGTGCCCTGACCCAGGCCCAGAGGCCCATTGGGACCTACCAGCCCAGGACTGGCCCCTGGCCTCCACCTTGAAGGCAAGACTGTTGCCCCATTAGGCTTTGGTTATTAAGTCATTAACTGAGCCTCACACAGCCTCTTCATTAGGGTAATTGTGGTGRATTCACTCAGGGCATTAACAAGGAGGAGGCCAGTTTCTCTGGGCTGTCAGACTGCCAGAACACCAGCTGGGTCTGACCCTGCAGCTGGAAAACTGCTCAGCTTCCCAGCCTGGGTCTTGAGAGGAACCTAATATTCAAGCCTCTCCGTGTCTTTTGAATCCCAAGCCCCAGCTGCCAGACTGGACCCCRATACAGTGCTCGGGGGGTTCTGCTTTGCCCCGCTTCCCTGTTGTGTGACTTTGAACCCATAAGTGGACTTCCTCTCCTCAGTTTCCTCATCTGGCAAGTGAGATAATAGCACCTGCCTGATTAGGCTATATGACGCTTTAACAAATGAATAACTTAATGCTCAGCAATGTAAACTACCATCACGTATAAGGCCGTCATTGTTGTCCTCACCAAGAGCTCTGGGAGTCCCCCAGAGGCCTCTGTCCCCTGCARGGCCCTGTCTCTTTTTTCCCCCACCCCCTTCTCAGGAAGGGGGCTGAGACCTGTGGCCCCCCAGATCCTGCTGTCCTCAGAGATAAGCTGAGGTGGGGCCCCTGGGGCTGGTGGGGCCAGGGGCTGATTCAGGAGTGGTGGCTAAGAGCTGGCGGGGCGGGGCGGGGCCCAGGATTCTGCTGGGCCTCCCGTAGCCTGGGTCTGTCTGTCTGCCTGTCTGTGGGCAACTGTGGGTGGCTTCAAGGCTTCCAGGTTCCCCTTTGACGGACAGAGCTCTAAGAGGACAGGGGAGGTAGCTGGGACTTGGGAGCAGGCATGGTCTCAAGAACTCCCTTTCCCCAAAAAAGCAGGCCTGGAGCACCACGTGCTTCAGACTGCATCCTACCTCCTATGGTTGGACAAACAGGGAGTCCTGGTTTTAATCTGGAGGGCAGCTGGAGCTAGCGTGTGTGCGCTCATGTCTGTATATACGCCTGGAGTCACCCCTGCCCTTTGGGCTTTGTGGTTTCCCCGAGGGCTGGGCCCGTGCCTACCTGTTGTTTAGGTCCCTGTGTCTGAGCCAGGGTTCGGCCACAGGTGGGCAAAAGGCTTGGGCTGGCAGATAGGAGGTGTGGCTGCCCCCAGGGTGGAGTGACCACAGGGCAGCCTCACCCTTCTCTGCACTGTGGGCCCCTACACTGGGGTGGGGCCCCATCCCCAGGCTGCACCTGGGAGGCCCAGTGGGGCCAAGAGGGAGGCCTGGGCAGCGGGGAGGTCATAGCAGGGTGGTTCTGAGGTAGCACCTAGCTGGGCTTTGAAGGTGGGAAAAGAGGCTGGGCTGGGCTGGGCTGGGCTGAGGGGTCTCCTAGATGGGGTGGGGTGATGGGGTACCCAGGTGTTACACGTTGCTGATAAACATCCTCTGTCTCCCTCTCTAGGTGTCCTTCTGGACATCCAGCAGCACTTTGGGGTCAAGGACCGAGGCGCTGGCTTGCTGCAGTCAGGTGAGGCCACCTCCCGCCTTTGCGRCCTGCCCAGGTGCTGGCATCTCCTCCTGTTGGCCGAGGGTTCTTCTTCCCTGAGTCCTGACTCCCAGAGGCAGCACGGGCTTTTCATCAGATCTCACCCTTGCCACCCACAAATGGCACTTGTCCAAGCCTTTGCTGCTTTTTCTTGTARCACATACCACTTGCCCCAGGGGCTTGGGAGACAGACACACCGAGGCCAAGGGCCCAAACCCTGTGTGACCTTTTTGTGTCCTAGGGTCTCACTGAGACCTAGTGATTGGGGTCCCTTCCCAAGGCTGATGAAGGGACCTCCTTAGATGAGTGGGTTGGACAATGCCAGTGAACCAATGTGACCATTTCCATCTCCTGCCCCAATTCCCAATTCCTTCCATTGCCATTAACCCTGGGAACCACCTCTTAGATGGCAAAGTGAAAGAGTCCACCTGGTCAACCCCTGAAGGTTCCCAAACCCGGGCAAGAGACGGAGAACCTGGGGCCTGGGTGAAACTGAGGCTTGAGAGTCCCTGCCCCATTTTCCCTTGGAGTCTCAAGGGAAAATGGACTGCTAGAGGTAGGGCAGAGCCCCAATAGGCCGCTATAAGCTGAGCAAGGGCTATGTGGGAAGCCATTGARCAGTTATCCCAGCCTATTGGCCCCTCCCTCTGTGAAGAGACGGTGTCTCCCTTGTCCCCCCGGGTTCTTGCCCCACCACGACCCCAAGGGACTGAGGCCCTGGCTCCCTGGCCTGTCCACTGGTTCTTACTATTGCTGGTCATGCTCCGCAGGTCCTGGCTGCCTTGGTGGAGATTCAATCTAGTGCTTTATCCCAGGGCTAGGGGAGGAGGTCTAGTCCTGATGTGGCCCCAGCCTTGCTGTGTGACCCTAGCCTAATGCCTATCTCTGGACCCTTGATTCTGGACTCCATTTAGCTGTGAGGCCTAGCCAGATGTGTGGGAGAAGATCCCTGATGTGCATTTGAGTCTGTGAACCCCTTCCCCAGCTTGAGGTTCCTAGGAGGGAGGGGATGGAATGTGCCAGCTCTGTCCAGGAACCTGCCTGACCTGTCTAGGTAGCATTCCAGTATGTACAATGCCTCCTTGAGCTCAGAGTGCCCCAGCCACTCAGTCCACCTGTCCTTACATCCCAGATGGGGTCTTGGGGCTGAAAGAGAGGGGATATAATGGCTCCTGGGCTCAGTCTTAATAAATGAGACTTACTAAGCGAGGTTGGAGCAAGGTCATGTGGCTCAGCGTCCCCCACAAGTGGTTAGGTCCCTGCCCTGGCAGACACTGCCTCTATCCAGGCCAGGAGCCCAACCCCCTCCCCTGCTCCTTCCTGGGCCTCCCTGTCTGTGCCAGAATAAGTCAGCCTGCCACACAGCCTGGGACAGCTCCCTCCAGCCTCCTGGGCCCTGCACACAGTGACCAGCACTGACCAAGAAGATGGGTTCAAGCTGGTGGGATCTGGGGAGGAAGTAGGATGCCAAGCTGGTGAGGAAGGGGCAGGGGAGAGCCYCGTCACCCTAGTCATCCAGCTCGCAGCCCCTGAGCCTCATTGTTCTGGCCTTGCTGACTGATCTGGAAGGAGGCTCTACCCTGATCCTCCTCCATTTAACACCCCTACATAAACATGTTCAAGGCCACAGAGCCTTCCAGGGAGAGGGTGGGGAGCATTGGCCCCAAGACAGCTGTGCAGGTCAGTGTTCTGGTTCCTTCTGCACTTTTTTTTTTTCCTTTTTGGTAGTGCTGAGGATTGAACCCAGGGCCTTGTGCATACAAGGCAAGCACTCTACCAAATGTGCTATATCCCCAGCGTATGTAGACACATCACCCACAAGCATCATCTCTTTTGGGTCTTCCAGTGGCCACACAGCTTTTGCTGGCTTCACTTGCCCAACAAAGAGACAGGTCAAGAGAGCAAACCAACTTGCTTAAGGTCTCATGGTGAGAGAGTAGCAGGCCTGGAATAGGGACCCAGGAGGCCTCTGTAGTGGCAGCCCACTTGGCTTGGGGGGGAGTCCACATGTCTGGCATCTCAGCGGGGTGGGAGAGATTTCTGGGCTTGGTGAGAATTTCCAGCATTCATAGACTCTCTTGTGTGAGTCCTTACCCTGTGGCCTTTAGCCTGCCACCCACAACTGGCACCCCTGGGATGGTTCCCCGAGTATCCTTACCTCTTTGGCCATTGAAGCCAGTCGTACTAGACCAGGATGTGACTCAGTGGGTAACTCAACAAGTCACCTAATTGGCCTGTGCCCCAGGCACCTGTCTCTTCCCCAAGCCTGATAAGGTTGGAGCYGGTGTGGAGGGCGCCAGCTGGGTGTTGGTGCTTGCCCGGATCAAAGGGCCAGGGCTGGGAGTGGCGGCCTGCTTATTTGTGGGCACAAGGGGCTGCTGGGCTGGGAGGCAGGGTGGGGGGTAACTGAAGGTTAGGCCTGGGCCTGCCCTTGCTGTTTCCCCTTGGGACCAGAACATCACTGGTTTGGGAAGGGCCCACTTTCAGCATTCCCCTTGCACTTGGCTGCTTGCTCAGACCAGGCTCCTGGGTCACCTGAAAGAACCATAGCTTAGCCTCTGTGACAGCCCACCGCAGAATTATGGCTTTTGCAATTTTCTTGGGTCTTGCAATTTTGGAATCCCCCATAACCCACATCTAAAGGGGCAGCTGCTTCTCAACCTACCGCTTGGCAGGCCCCATGCTGGGTTCTGCCCAGACTCAGTCCTTGCCCTCAGGTAGGTTCCCTCTGTTGATGGCTCATCAGATCACCGCTCAGGCACAGGGGGTACTGTGGGAGCCTGGTGGATGGTAGAGAGTTTGTACCTAGCCACCTAGGTGGCATGTGCAGAAGACTTCTGAGGAGGGGACATTTGAATGGGGGCTTTGAAGGATGAGTTAGGGTTTGTTCAGGGRAAAGGACTTTTATGTAGCCGGTTTGTCAGATTCGGTAGATACGAGGAAACCTTCCTCTCCCCTCCAAGCTAGATAAAATATGCCAAGAAAACACGTTTAAATTACATGGCTGAGCTTGAAAGCTAAAGCTAATGGGGAAATTCCCAGGTGTCAGAAGCAAGGAGCTGAAGTCAAAAACTGGAGTGGGAGCTGGAATCAAAGCCAACTAATTCAGAATATTTAGAGATCAGATTCATGCCTTCAACACTTGTTATAGTATTTTTAATATAAACATTTTTTTTTTCATGGAATATTTTAAACGTATGTGAAAGTAGAGAGTCGAGGACAACAAATTTTCACATGTTCATCACCCAGATTCATCAAAGCATCACAGTCTGGCCCAGTTTCCTGKCTCAGGGCTTCTTCATTCTGATGACTGGGCAGTGCAGGCTTGGGCTCCAGGGTCAGGGGGATGATTCAGTGTCCTTCCCAGAGCTCAGGCAAGTTCCCTGATTCCAAACTGTGCTCCAAGCTGGCAGGCACTTGTGCTGGTAGAGCCTCTATACACAGATGGACACTTCCTTCCTGGCTCTGGCTTTATGCAGAGAGGCTGGTTCCTGTTCCTACTCCTTACAGGACTGGGACCTTCTCCCTGGAGGCTCTGTGTTTTCAGGGGATCCAAAAGAAGCAAATCCCAAACTGTTCATATCCCAGAGCCTGCATGGGGCCCAGATGAAAATTCCCAGCAAACTCAAATTCAAAATTAACAAACCACACAGGAAACTCGTCTCTCTTTTTTKSGGGGGGTACTGAAGATTGAACCTAGGGGTACTTAACCACTGAGCCGCATCCCTAGCCCTTTTTTATATTTTAGTTTGAGTCAGGGTCTAACTAAGTGGCTATGTGGCTTGCTAAGACACTGAGGCTGGCTTTGAACTCATGATCCTCCTATCTCAGCCTCCTGAGCTCCTGGGGATTACAGGGGTGCACCACCACACCCAGCAGGAAACTCGTCTTCCCGAGAGGGCCCTAAAGCTGCTTGAAAAACTACAGAGAATAGACTCATTTTAAAAGGACTTTAAAATTAGGTGAGCTTAATTTTCAAAGTTCAAAAGAAAGATTASGATTGATAAGACAAGAATAGCACATTATGAGAAAAGAACGGGGAGATGTTTAAAAGCCTGAAGTTCTAGAAGGGAAGAATGTAAGTATTGAAATAAAAAATGTGTTAATCTGATGGGTTAACAAGCAGAATAGATGTAGTTGAAAAGAAAATAAGCAAATGAGAATTATCAGCAAATGAGAATTATCAGCAAATGAGAATTATTAGCTGTAATTCTGACTGTGGGCTGAAGGATTGGCATAAATGTAGCCAGGGAAGAGAGTAAAAGTGACGTTTGTGACAGTGCCTGGCTTTAGTGAGCTGTGGTTTGTCAGCTGTTTGCTGGAGTAGGGAGAATGGAGGGACAGGAGGCAGGGCAGTGGGTGGGTCTGACTGTGAAAGGCTTGCAGATTGGGATAAGATCTCCAGTTTTGTCTTGGGGCAATGGAGAGCCAGAGAAGGTTTTGGAGCAGGGTAGACAGAAGTTGCACGCATCACGGTGTTCTGGTGGAGCCCAGAGCAGAAAAGTGGATGGCAGAGGAGGTTAAAACACACTCAGGGTTGGGGTTTGTGGGGTCAGGAGGAAGCRCAAGGGTTGGGGAGAGTGGGGATGGAGGAAGAGCCAGCTCAGACTGAAACCAGACAGTGCCTGTGCTTTGGGGCCAAGTCTCCTGGCTTTACTCCTCTCCCCTAGGGCTTGGCCAGTTTAGTGACATCCTCCATTCCAGCAGGCCTGGGTTCTGCAGGCAAGGCTGGGCGGCCCTTCTGACCATCCTCCCAGGGGTTCCRTTCAGAAGGCGGCCTAAGAGCCTTGCTTGCTGAGGCCACAGGTTTCTATCCCAAGCAGGACATGAAAAGGGAGGTGGTTCCTGTCCTTCCTGTGGGACATTTGAGCATGATGGGCTTCCATAGTGGGCTGCCATCTGTTTGGGGGCCTCCCCATTAGCTGGGATGGGCTGGGCTGTCCTTGAATGACACAGCCTGACCCCCACCCAATCCATCCTGC